TGTGCAGTGTTGTTTGCAGTGCAGGACAAGGCCATGCCAGAAACCCCTCCTAGTTTTGGTTGGGTTGGTTCAGGGTGGGATGGGTTGTTTTATGTTAGTATGACAGAGCACAATTATTATGAGAAGAATAAAGCTGTGGGCCAGGTCTGTCTGACATTTTGTATATGGACTGACAAGGTTTTTGGTGAAGCTCCAAATTTCCCTTTCAGCTCCCTTTACACCAGTAATTCTGATCCAGTGAAGCACTGGTTTGTCTGAGTCATAAAATACCTGAAGTCCTGTGAAAACACTGGGCCCAAAACACCCACAGCTCCTCCTGGCCAGCCAGCCAGAGGAGCAGAATGTGGTACTGAGAGCCTGTCCCACCAGTCACAGAGAGGTGTTTTTATAGAGATCTGTTATTCACTGATGGAAGCACTGATGTGACAGTCACAGCCTCACACATACCAGTACTTTGAGTCCTCAATTGCACAATTTATGTAGGGAAAGAACTTGAGGAAGATTGCTCTAATAGGCATGTGGTTACTTTTTCTTTAACTTTGGTTTTGTCTTATGACATGTATGGCTGCTGGATTTATAATCCACCAAGAGGAACCCATTAGACCTCACTTTCTAGGAACACTGCTTTTTATTATCTTACTATATCATTTATTTTCTCATCCTGTTCCTACAAAACTTTTACATCCAGATGCTGTGGTGCTCTTGTTGCTTGTGTGGCAGCCACTCAAGGGACCCCAGCCCTGCTGGAGCAGGACAGGACCCAGTGACAGCCTGACATTGCCCCAGAGGCTCCTTAACTCCTGGATAACTTCATGCTCAACTGCTAAAGGCAATGGCAGGTGGACCAGCCCTTCAAAGTAATTTCACCTGAATCATTCCTGAGTGGGCTTTAAGGTAATCGATGCTGTTTGCAAAGGTGAAAAGGAGGGAAATGTGTACTATTGGTGCTGTGCCTGCAGAGGTGGCGTGGAGACACCTTTTCCACCCTGTATTTAGAATAGATTGTGTCTGATGCTGAAGGTGTACATGCAACTTGCTTTACAGGATTCACTGAAGTCACAGCTCCAGGCTGTGATTCTGTGAGAGGAAAATGCAGCTCATGGTTTGTCCTAACAATCAAAATCAAAGCTAAAGGCAGGAAAGATGCAGTGAGGTTTTGGGACTGTCTGTGAGCCCCAGCTCTCTCCTGACCAAAGGCAGAGTCCATCTCCTCCAAACACATCCCAGTGGCTGTGCTGGCAGCCCTGGGCTCTCTCACAGCAGCACCCTGGCCATGGCTCTGCCATTTTTCAGGGATTCAGGATCAGGCTGGGGCTCCTGCACAGCTGCAGTGCCTTGCCCCTATTTTATGTTCACTGAAAGATTTTTGAATGGACTTCAGAAGCCATTAGGAACCCAAATGTCGACTTGCACTTGCAAAATGTCTCTGGTTAATGTTTTCCTACTGACGCTCTGCTTTGCTCCCCGCCTGCCAGAGTTTCCTGTGACCTATTTGAAATATCACTCTCCTAAGTGAAAATGTGCCTCTCTTTTTCAAACTTGCAAAACTCACAAAAATAAATAGCCTAATTTGGCCAGTTAATAGCCCTCTCCTGGGGCTCCTCTCAGCAACTAAGAGGCCTTTTAAATACAACATTTGTGACTGCGTCATTAAAGCTCTGCATGATCCAAGCAGACTAAGCCAAAAAGAAAGAATTGCCTTATTTGATCTAAGTTTTCTTTTCTTTTAAATAGTGACACTAGAGACCCATTTATTTTTAATTACACAATTGCTTTATTAAAAGCCTAAATCCTGCAGTCCCTAGTCATTGCTCAGGCAAAACTGTTATCATTGAAGGAAGGACCTGTAGGAGTCAATCCTAAAAATAGGGCAGCTGACAAAGTGCCTTTCAAAATGAGCTTGCTTTATTTTTGAAGTATTTCCCAAGTCAAAGAGAACTTGCCTTTGCTTTGCTTTTCAGCTCTGCAGCAATTTGAAAACTGAGTCCAGGAAAACAGTCACTCCAGAAAGCAAAATCACTCCCAGTTTTCCTTTCAGACTGGCTCTGCTGCCCTTTTTACCCTGAAACACCACCCTCTACAGAGCCACAGCAGTATTTCCTGGCACGAGATATGCGTGGGAGTTCACACAATCATGGAATCTCCTGCATTGGAAGATACCCACAAGCATCATCAAGTCCAACCCCTGACCCTGCACAGGACAGCCCCAGCATCACACAGTGTTCCTGAGAACATTATTCAAATGCTTCTTGAGCTCTGTCAGGCTTGGTGCTGTGACCACTTCCCTGGGGAACCTGTTCTGGTGCCCAACTCCCCTCTGGCTGTGGGAAACCCACTTGGAGTCCTGCAGCACCTCTCTGCAGCCCTCCCTCAGCTGTGGGGAGCAAACCCAGCTGCTGGGAGTCTGGCAGAGGGCAGGACTGATCCTGTGCCACTGATCCTGTGCCACACAAATGCATTTCTGTGCTTGGACTCTGAAGGACAGGTCTCCTGGCTGGGTTAAGACGGTGCTGCCAGCAGTGGGAGGGTGGGCAGGCTAGCCAGCCACATATACTGGGTTATATTTCTGGGCTAAACTCCAGAGCCTTCAGTTTTATTATCTAATTACCCAGCCAAACTCATTCATCTTTATTTTTCAGTCTTTCCCACAGATCCCAGTTAAAATGCAGCTTTGCTATCTGAAGTGCTGCCCAGGCACTCTCTGCTTGGAAAAATTCATGGTTTCTCAGCTTTATTCACTCAAACTGTGTTTTCTTAGCGTAAAGGATGAATGGCAGAAATCCCAGCCCTGATCAGCAGCAGAGGTCTACATCAGGCTGTGCTGAGAGGAAGGTGGCTGCATTGTCATGGGCAGCTGTACCAGGGGAAGCAAGAGAAAGGAAATAAGCCTCTGCTTAAATGTAGGCTTCATCCCCAGTGTGACATGTCATTAGATGGCACTCAGGGCTTTGTGCCATGGCTCACTGCAATGTCTTTATTGCAAAGTATAAACACCAAGAGTTAGTAAATAAAAGCAACAGGGGGGAAAACTGCCCCCCAGAAATTAATGAAACATCAGGCATACATCCCTGGACAATACAGTCCAAGGGGGAAAAATACTGGTGTCCTGTCCTTTTTCTCTGCAGGACATGAGCCCTCCTCTCCATATGTTACTGTGTAGATGTAATCCGTGTCCCATGCTGGGGCAGATGCTCCTGCTTAGCATAAACCTGCCCCTGGGAGGGGCTTATCTTGCAAATATACTGTCTTTTCTGTGCTCCTTGCCTTTATTTCCTTAGGGAATGCACATGCTGGCAGGTTCAGGGGGCATTCAGATACAGTAAATTGCTGCAAAGCAGAAAAGCTTCCCCCAGACCTCACAGTATTCCTGTTTGCTCTCCAGGTGGCAAGGACTGGGCAGGGGGAGAGAAGGGAGAGGTGGCAGATGCTGTGGAGCATGAGGCTGCTGCTTGCCAGCTTGGTGTGAGGGAGGGGACATGGGAGGGAAGCCCTCATGCAGCCTTTCTCCCTCTGAGGCCCCTGGCAGACAGAGTCCTCCTGGTGCTGCCTCCCAGCCCCAGCAGGAAACCCTCTGGATTTGGGGGCTGTGCCTCATGGAGGGCTGGGGCAGAGGCACAGATGCCTTGTGTTCAGTCTGCCCTCCTGGCCATCAGCAGCCAGCAGAGCCAGCATGAGCACAGCAGGATCCTGCAGGAAATGTTGGTGCTGTGCTGTGCCCAGCTGTGCCACGCAAAGAGAGCAGGACCTGCTCAGCAGGGCAGTGAAGCTGAAGAGGTTCCTGTGCTGCAGCCCAGGTAGGTGTGTGATGGGAAGGACAAACTAAATTCGTGGTGAAGGAAGGAACCTTCAGGAGCAGAGCATAGCAAGACACCAGGACACAGAGCAGAAGGGTAAATGGAGATGGGTTTGGTCAGGAGAAGGGAATGAGCATTGTCAGGGAGAGCTACTGCCTGTGGTGATGGAGTGCTGAACCCTCAGAGTGCCTGGTAAAAACCCATCCAGGTCCCAGCTGTGCTGTGCTCTTGCAGGCTTCACTCCTTCACATGAGGCCACAATTCCACTCGTCCTGCACCTCTGGTGGCACCTCTGGTACTTCTCACGTTAGCTCTACCTGCTAGGCTTGCTCCAACCACACACCAGCTGACTTCATCTTCCCAGGTGTTTCTTATCATCTCTCCCATTCCAGCTTTTACCCTTGACCACAAGCAGCACTTGGAACAATTAACACCTTGTGCTCCTACCATCTTTTGGTTTACAAGGCAGCTGGTTACTAGGGCAACAACTGCACCTTTTTCTTTCAGTGTATTGACTGAAAATCAACATTTTATATTAAAGGAAAAGAAAAATAATATTCTCTCAAGCCACAGTGAGTTACAACACCATCTCTCCTGTAATCAAGATATTGCTGAATTATGGTGCTATAAACAAACACTTCTGATATAACCACAAACACTGTGGGACATGTAACACATTGGCAGTATATTTCAAGTGACAAACTCATTTATTGTGGGGAGTGGAGGGAGAAAAACACCTTTCCAGAAGCCACAGCAAGGAATTACAGCAAAGAATGACCAGAGCTTAAGGGTACAGGCACAAAGTAATTCTAACACCCTGGCTGGAATAAAGCACTTCGAAGTATGAACAAGATTAGAGCAGTAGCAGTAGTACAGGAGGTGAAGATACAGGATACAGGTGATTGTCCCTTTCAATAAATCATGATTAATTCCATAGCACTTAATAGAATTGCCCTGCTGTGAGGCTGGTGTAAGGAGGGGCTGGGAGGTGAGCCCACAGCTATCCCATGACCTTTGCAGGCTGGTGTGGAGCTTCCCTTGCAGGTGGCACTCAAGTAACAATCATGAATCATTAAGGTACATAACTATCTGGGAGATCAAAGAGAGCAGGAGCTTGTGGTGAAAGGAGCTCGTGCCAGATGCTGTGGAAGCAGAGAACATGCTGGGAGCTGCTTGCCAGAGATTTCATCTCTTGCTGTGTTCCAGGTGGCTGCTGGGTCACTTTGGTCAGTGGGATTGGAAGAGAGCCATCACCTGCCTCCTGGATGGTCTGCCAGCCTGCTGTGTGGTGAGTTCCAGCTCAGGAGACTTCTTTGCCCAAACAGGGTGATTTTTGTGTTTGTTTTACTCTGCCACGGTGTGCTGGGCTGTTTTGGTGCTGCCCAAGTTGTTAAACACACATGAGCTGTCAGTAGTGCCTCTCTGGGCTGCGAGTGGGGGAACAGGATGGGCTGGGCAGCTGCTCAGTGTCTCCCCAGTCCATACAAAAGGACATCTGTGCTGTGCAGTGGGGAACAGGGGTATTGTCTCCCTTAGCAAACCTGGGCCCTGGAAAAGGCAATGCACATAACCCTCTCTGGATGTGGTGCATGCATGGATCTGATCGTGACAGAGCACTTGTGATCAGAAATTGTCAGTGCTCAAAGCTCATTGAATGTCTGGTAACTTCTGCATTTATACCAACATGCAGAGTATTAACAGGTTATCCAAAGCTCACCTGGGATTTGCAGGCCTGACTTTGAAGTAAAAAAATCAGCTAGACTGTGACATTGGAAGTGACCTAGCTGACAATATAGGTGTCAATATGGCCTTCTGTAAGGCTGGGTTTCCAAACGTGCCTTTACAAGAACGCTGGGGTTCCCTGGCTTTAGTTTTAAGTGAGTTTCAAGTTGAGGGGAATGTATCTTCAAGCAATTCCACTGTAGAATTTATAAATGAGCACAAAAATGCATTGAATGGGAGCTGCTCAGTGTACAGACTTCTGATGGGCTTGACAGCACAGCTCAAAAGTTCCTTAAATAATGTCTGTGATTTCTGGCAGCCTGGAAATGCTGAACTTCTTTGGATTTCAAAGCAAATAGATACATCTTAACAAAGACCACCTCTTGTCAGCTATCCTTAAAATTATAGCACAGAGATTGAAATAAAATGTGTGTACGTGTCTCTCCTGGGACATGACGGAAGGGAAAAGCATTATCAGAATTCTTTAAACTCATCTTAACAGTATTGAACCAATTATTTTGTTAAATCTGGGTTTGTTTTCTGCCTCTCAATGAGAACATTTGAAGTCTATCATCTCCACCATTTACGAGTTACCAGTCTGCAAGTGTAAAATTTCCAACTGGAACATATGGTATCAGAGGGAACAAGGGGGAAATATCTGATTGCTCATGCTCCCCAAACTCCAAATCTACTCCATTTAGTATTTTGCTCACAGTTCCTGTAGGGGAAAATAAAAGAAATCATCTCTGATCTGAGACCAAGCAGTGAACATTTCACCCTGAATAGGAATCTGTTTGAAAAACTTACAAGCAGCTGAAAAGGGAATAGAATAGAAACTACATTTCTGTTTCTTCACAATGGGCAGAACTTAGCAATGCTGATAAAACCTCTCTGCACCTTCTTCTCTAAGTTCTGACACCTGTTTTGGGGCCTTGCCTGCAGCCAGCACAGGGGACAGTGCAAGTAGCAGGTCAGAGAGCACTTGTTCTCTTTCCTGAGGGTGTCAGTGAGGCTGGGCAGTGCAAGGCTGCCAGCAGAGCTGGGTGTGCAGGCAGTGGGGCTGCTGTGGCTCAGCCTCTGAGCCCCATGGCACTGGGAGGCTGTGCAGGACACCCTGCTGGCCATGCTGCCTGGGTTAACCCCACTTTGAGTCTGGAACTGGCCTGAGACTCACCTGCAAGTCCTTTGGGATCACCAGGCAGCCCCAGGTAGCGGGCACTGGGTAGCCACAATGCTCCTGTAATTTGTCAGTTCCTTGCTGGCTTCTAGGTGCTCCACTGGCTGAGCCATTCTTGCATGGGCATCCCTTTAGGTGTCACAGAGAGTGATCGTGCAGACCTTCCCTCTGGGCAGGGCAGCAAGCATCCCCTTCCTTTGCTTTGCTGCAGAGGCTGAGCCCTGAGTAACCAGGCTGTGAGGTGTGAGAAACAGGCTTCTCGCTCTTCCTCCTGGCAGAAGAAGCAGGTCCTAAGCCTGCAGCCCTGGGAACTGATGTGACCAAATCACAGAAGAGGAGCCTTTCACTTGGCAGCAGGATGGTCGTGTAGTGCCACATGTACAACCAAACGTATCCTCCCTGCCATTCAGACAGAAAGCAGCTTGTTTTGGAGCAGCTTCCCTGGGAGGGGGAGGAACAGATGTTTGAACCAGAAGCGTGTGTGACAGTTGGGAGAGACAGCGTGGAAACGCACAGTTGAAAGGAGAAGTCTGATGGGAGTGTGATGACAGCAGCAGGACTTCAGTGACAAGGAGTGGGAAGGAGAACAAGCAGGGAGGAGTGTTACTTCAAAAGCTGAGCAAAGTGCACAAGAAGATATGTCAGGAAAGCGTCAGAGAAAGGAAGAGAGGAAATGTGAGAGTAGAGACAGGCTTTGGGATCTGTCTGCAAGCATGTGTGACCTGTTGCCTGACAAACAGAGAAAGGGAGGCCTTTTATTCCTGTGCCTCCTTCCACGAGTTAACTCTTCTTGCAGGCAAGCTGGCTGCCAGCTCTGCTGGAGCTCCTCACGTAGTGCTCGTGGAAGGTAAAGCTGCCTCTGCTGCTCCAAAGCACGGTGACTGGGGGGTGCTGAGTGAAGGTACTCTGTCAGGGATGCCCAAGCCCTTCCTCTGCCATTATAGGGTGGCACAGTAGCCACAAGCTTTGGGACTTTGGGCACTGCAAGAGTCTGAGGAGAAGAGGTGACAGTCTCGTAGCAGGCTGCGCCTCTGACCGTGCCGTGATCACAGGGACAGGGTGTGAGCAGAGAGAAGAGAGCATGAGGATTTCTCCTGCAGCAGGGAGGGACCTCTCCAGCAGTGCCTTAGCCTGGTGACATCAATCACAGCTCTGCAGTGTCTGGTTTTACCCTAGTTCAGCAGATGTGCAAGGCAGACCGGGAGCACGCTGCTGGAGTGTGAAGCCTCGGAGCTGGGGGAAGGGGCACAGAAACTTCTGCTCCTGAGGGATTTACTGAGGCAGTTCTGCACAACCCTTCCTTCACCACTGACTTCCCAGGGCGCCTTGAGAAACACAAACTGGTCTGTTCTGCTTTGTGTCCTCTTGTAGGGAGGGGAGAGTTTCCTTAAGTATAGGGTGAGCCTTGGGGTACAGTGATGGAGGGATTGCAAGGTAGATGCCAGCCACGCAGCTGGGCCAGGAGCTGCAGTCTGACAGTGGGTGTTGCATGGCTGGTGGCTTTCACCCCTCATACAAACACTGGCATTCATTTCTTGATGTGAAATCCCAGCAAGTTAGAGGCAGAAATATCCCTTAAGTGGGTGTGCAAGGGGGAGGCTGAACCAGGGTGATGGGGACAGGTCGGGGTGTGCTGTGTCTGGCAGCTCTGGGGCGGAGCAGTCTCACAGCAGGGACCTGCCAGTGCTATGGGCTGTGTGGGGCTGAGGCTCAGCCAGCAATGCCTTCTTTCATTTACTTATTGTAAGGATGAAAGGGATGGAGAGGAACATGAGGGAAAAATAGTGTCAGGACCCTGCAGCAGTGCAAGGGTGTTGAGCACTGTTGTAGAAGCAGCTTGATGAAGGTGTAAAAGCCTGAAGGATCTGCCCTCCCTCACCAGGAGAAGCAATGCAGGCTCATGGTAAGGAAGGAAGTTTTGGGCACCATAGCATCATGCACAGGTGGTGTTGGGAGAGTAAAGATGATGAAAGCCTCTCTGGTGCCTGCTGTACTGGGCTGCAGGACCCTTCTTGGAGCTGGTCTGAGCAGAGCAGCCATGGGCACTTCTCGCTGTGTGGCTGTGCTGGCTGTTCTTACTCCAAAGCTGGGGTGTGGGGTCTGGTGCTGAGGGGACCTGCAGGCTGCCAGGGTGGCCTCAGGCAGATGGAGCACAGAGGAGCAGGTACCTTGGTGTTTTCACCCAGGAGTGATGTGCTTCGTAGCAGGATAGGGTTGAGTATCCCCCAGATGCTCGGCTTTATGTAGCAGAATTACACCTTTCTTCTAATTAACTTGCACAGGATCTTGTGCAAGTTAATTGTAAGAGTCAGGGTCAGACCCAAGTTGCATTTTCTTAAGGTACTAGCAAAGGTACTGAAATTAAATTCTTGTGAGTGAAGACCTGTTTTCCCTGCAGTCTAAGCTCAGAACAACAGAGCAGTCTTTAGTCTCTGGAGAAGGTTTTAAAATCTTCCAGGTCTGTGTTCCTTGTAAAAAAAAATTTAGTCAGCACTTGACACATCTGACAGTTGCCAGCCCTTGTTCAATGTGATCAGGGCCCTGTGTACTGAATTAATCAGGGAACTCCATTCTGCCTCGTGGCTGGGAAAGGCTTCATCCCCAAACCCTGGAGAGATGCTGGAATGTCTCTGGAGAGCAGCTCACAGGACAGCACAGGGGATTTCTGCCTTTGCCCTCCCAGCCTAGGCTTGCAGAGGCAAGGGGGCAGCAGCCTGACTTCCTCAGGCTTTTGCTGCAGCCACACTCCTGGTGGAGCAGAGCCGTACATCACCCGGCATTTTATGTGTGCCTGGGAAAAGGAGCCTGAATCCCCTTCCTGCACGGGGAGCTGCCAGGCTGGATGCCAACACACAACCCTCAGCATTTTTTTATTTACTATAAACCTCTTAAATGAAGGCTGGGGGATGTTTTTCATTTACCATGTTACTGTATGGAACCAATCACTATAAATTTAAATGGAGAGCTGGTGGGAGCACACTTACCTTTTATATCATAATTGTATGAGCGCTGCTGCCTAACTGCTATTAGGATTATTCAGAGCTTCTCAGATTTCATTGTAAAACATTAGGCTGTGAGAGGTACTGTAAGGGTGTGATTATTCAAAGAGGGTAAGTAGTAGTGGGGGTTGTTGGCCAGGATTGCTACAAGAGGGAAGAAATGCTTAGTAGCTGGAAGTAGAGGAATTTGAGGAGCATAATCTGTCATTCAGAAATACAGAATGCTCTGTGCGTGGAGAAATCCCACCTGATTTCTATCTGGATCTGCACCAGCTTGATGAGTGTGACTTAAATTGTCTCCAGGCACAATTCAAATCCTTGGCTGAGCATAGGTGCCAGCCCTGTGCTCCCCTGAAGGAACCCTAACACAGCAGAGGAGTCCTGCTGGTT